AAACACAACCCACACAGGTACCTTAAAACCCAGTAAACGCACACGCACACGCACACACACAAAAATGGTAAACAATTTGACCGTCCTCATGTTTCTTTTAAACAAAAGATAACTCAGAACACACAACAGGCAGGTGTGAGTTTCAACAGCTTATATGTCTCTACTACTGAACTTGTGACTTAGTTTATCTGAGAAACCCAAGACCAGTGAGAAGTGAGAACCCACTAAGAAACAGCCGCTCTCATTCATCATTCAATAATGGACTTGATTAGAGAAAATAGAGAGTTGAACATTGAAGACTCCAAACACAGTTCTAAAAATAAAGATACTGGTTCATACTCTAAATGAAGAGCCTTGGTCATTTGTAACTTTTGAAGGCTCCGCTCCGGATATTCTCCTGACCTGGTTGTTCACATGCACCTCACAGCGGGAGACTATCCCTGTCAGACGGGAGGGGGGGCGGTCTCCCGAGGTAAGATCTGTTGTAAAAAAAGATGCAGAAGTAGCGGACGAAGCAACAGACCGCTAAACAATGCTATAATGAGTATATTTGCCTTTATAGCAATGCTCCATGTGGTTTGGCTGAATCACACTATCAACAAAAAATAAAAAATACAACATACTGGTAAACAGAAAACATTACGCAGCTGTTTAATTCTGTGAGATCGTAGTCGTCATGGGCAGACAGTCAATGCACCGACTCCAGTCACAGTATAGAGACGTCCCTCCCCCCCTCCCATTGGCTCGAGCTGGAGTCATTCTCACATCAGCTCTTGCTGCAGGTAAAAAACAAACTCCGGGTGAAGTCCGAGTGAAATATTTTTTGCGTTCACAAAAACAGGAGTTTTTCCAGGAGTGTTCTGCAAGTGTGACAGCCCTAATACACATCACGTTCAAAAAAGCCTGTTTTTACTTTTTACAGCAGAAAAAATCTCAAGTTTACAGTCTGGTACAAAAAATGATATCTGACGCAGAAGAGCCTCCGGAGCTCCCTGCCGTAACAGATGGGTGACGTCACACATGTTTTGTCCACCCATATTTACAGTCTCAGGTTCACCATTAGAAGAGACTTCAGTTCTTACTTTGACTGCAAAAGCACTTTTCTCCCTTTGTCATTTGGATAAAAACAAACCAATCCGTCTGTTGAGACAAGAGCGTTGGCAATGTTTATAATCACCACAACACTTATTGTGAGCTGGCTTTAATTATTCCACTTGATTTATGCTTACAAAAGATATCTAAACAATGATGGTTCTGTATGTGTGTGAGGGAGAGAGTGGGTGCTAAATCACGGGGACACATTTGTCAGAGTGCCTGCATAACCACAAGTGCCAGTTGATCCTTTTAAATGACAGACAACTGCCAGCTTGTGGTTATAATGGGCAGCAGTGAATCAATATGGTTGGCTCACATCCCCCAGGCTATGGCCCACCTCTAAATATAGGACACAAAAAGAAGTAATCAACAGTCAGCCATGGATATCAAGTTGCCTTGGCCTTGTGATTTCCTAAAAGACCAACATAGTTACAATGAAAGGACGGGTGTGGTGCTTTAGTTTGGTGGTGCAAATGGTGTTAAGCCACAATAACAGAAAGAGTCACTTCATACTGTCACAGTGGTGGAAAAATGAAAACGGAGTCATGTGTGTAAAGTCCACCTGTAAATGACTTTACAAGCTCTGGGAAAGCAGACATTCAATTGTAAGTCTGCACGTGGGATGAAGAAGGGCTGGGCACAGGTCTGTTAATCCGTTTAACGTTAATTATCAGCAATTCACTTTATGTATTCATTTCTACCGTTGATGTTTTAATTTGAAAAAATTGTTATCTCAAACATTTAACTTCCGGTAAATTTGGGTCATTTTATTTTCATCTCTTGAATTCATTTTCACCAACCCATGTCAGCTGACCTCATTTGCTCCTGACTCTCCCAATATATACTGCCGACCCCTGTTGTTATTAGATAGATAGATAGATGGATGGATGGATGGATGGATGATAGATAGATAGATAGATAGATAGATAGATAGATAGATAGATAGATAGATAGATAGATAGATAGATAGATAGATAGATAGATAGATAGATAGATGGATGGATGGATGATAGATGATGGATGGATGGACAGACAGACAGACAGACAGACAGACAGACAGATAGATAGATATAATCCTATCCCATATCTTACACATATAAGGTGAAACATTGAACAAACAGTACAAACTGAGAAATAATCAGGCTATCATTGGCTTAAGTAGTCTAGGAACAGTGAATGGAAGGTCCTGATTGGTCAATTGACGTGTCAATCCAAAGACAAGAGAAAACAGTCAAAACAGCAGTGGAAAATTTGAAGCAATCTGTGGATACTTATGGATATAAGACTTGTTTTATTTTTCGGTGGTCTGACAGATGCATACACTGTAGTTGCTGTGTTGATTGGATCCTAAAATTATTTACATGGTCAGAATCACAAGAATCATAGCTTTCTAGCGAGGTACAGCATGAGTGAGGCTACAGGCTACAGAAGAGCAGTTGTTTAAATGACGGTGATAAAGAAAATACACATTAACAGCTGCCCGTCAGGGGAGGTGATATATCAACAACAACAAAAAGATTTTCAACACAGACATGTGTGTACTTTTGAGTTTGATACGTCATCATGGTCTCTTAAGAATTAAGAAAATCTATTGACATTGCAAAAAGCTGATTTTTTTGTTGTTTTTTATAATACCAGTTAACATGCAGTTAAATATTAAGTGAATTAACAGATCAACCGTTATTGAAGTAAACGGATTTCTGAACGGATTAACAGAGTTAAATATATATTATTAACTGTGCCCACCTCTATGTCTGACCTCGTCTTACTACCTTTGTTGTAGAAATTGGCACAAAACACATAAAGCCATCAAGTTAGACAAACAGCTTACCAAAGTAAATTGTCACATAATGATTACTATGACAACTAAACAATCACAGTTCTTTCTCTGTGTGCATGCATTACTCTCCCAAATTTGACAACTAGAAGTCTGAAGGATAACTCCTAGGAAGGTCTGTTGAACCAAGCTGTGGATCGATGACAGCTGGTTTGAACAGGTCCAGAGTCTGGACTAAACACTGTCACACTATTTGACTCCATGATGTGGGGGGGGGGGGTGATGTGATGTAGGAGTGAGCTCTGCATCAAGCTATTAATTTTAAACTCATGGCATAATGGCATGATGCAAAACCTCCCATCCTGCCCACACAGCGGCGAGTGTTCAAGTGTTTATATAGAGGGAGCATACCAGTGAGGTTACTGCAGGGCAAGTCTGTTTTATCATTTGCAGAGGTGGGGCATGCAAGACTTTTAATTGAAACATTATATTCTGCTAGTTACGCAGGGATACATACTGTACTGAAGGTCACTGAGTTTGATTATGTCATATCTTCAAGTGGGATTTTTTTTCTTGGAGACACAAGTATCATGTCTGTGACTAAATAACCGACTCGTTGCCAACAGATTTCAACAAAGCAGCTATTTTTTCTTCTTCAAATAATGGGGTTAAAAACCAAAGACACAGAGGAAAAGAACCATCTCTGATCCAAAGGCAGACAAAGTGGTCCGCTCTAAAATTCAAGCATTAAGGTGTTCATCAATAAGCTGACAGAAAATCAGTCCTTCATTATAGTCCATTATTGAAGCAAAAAAAACAAAACAGACAAACTAAATGAACCACTTTGTGTCAAAGACTGTTCACACACAACAAGCCGCACATGATTACGGACATCAATCTGGGTTAAAGGGCATTGTAACAAGCATTTTCACAACTCTCTGTCAGATAATACAGTCCAAAATTAACAATTAATACAAATATCTGATCGTCATATGACCAGGATGTTTGTTTACATCAGTAATGCAAAGATGATCATGGAACATTAAGCCAACATACTGATGGATGAAAAAGACAGTTTAGCTGATTGCTGTTTAAAACAGTCATTCCTTCTTTGAATCTTCTCGTCTGTCTTTAATGAGCTATGACAACAACTTTTCTCTTATTCCGTCGTTTGGTATGCTAGCACGCCAGCATTAAATAGATCTTGCAAGAAAACAGATACACATCGGCTACAGACATCGGTGCATGTCACATTATTTCAGAAGGAACAATGTCGGATTACAGCGCCGATAACGGCCAATATACAAGATAAGTTACAGGATACCATCAGTTCATCCTTCATTATTGTATTGCGCTGAAACCGTTCCACAGTATATCTGAAATGTAAACTGATAGGCATACACTGTTAGCAGTGACAAGACAACATCATGGCCACATCATCAAAAGTGATGCAATCAATATTGTCTTCATTAAAGGCCAAGGAAGGATGCACGACAGCAACACAATATCATGATAGTGCAACATCCACCATGCCAACTTCTAAAAAGCTTTCATCCACAAGTGAGTACTGTATGCGTCATTGTGCTAAACTGTGACGCTTTCTTTGTCATTAAGGCGCTGGTTACCTATTTTCCTTTTATGTTTCTCCAGCTGTGGCCAAGAAAGGCAGATGTTCCGACTGACCTCATTCAAGTACACTGATGTGCACTGTTGAGGTGAGCCTGGGGACACAGTGGCTTCAGCCAGGTGTGTGTTTATGTGTGTGCATCACAGCCTTAGCAGTGAGGGGGTCATATTTCAGTCTGACAGCAAAGGCATAAGCAAGAGGAAGACCTGTCCAATCTAGTAAAAACTCTCAGTTGACCTTTAAAGCCAAATTTGCTAAAACCATAACCTGGTAATAACGAGATTATAAAGCCAACCAGGGTCAGGGGTCAAACACAGCCTGCAGTGGAGTCATCACCAACACGATAACACATCAAGATGGCAATACAATTTCGAACCGAACTTCGGTTTTATGTGAAACATAATAAATCAAATGGTTGAGAAGATTCTGTCACAGTGTTTAGACGGGGGGAAAAAGAAAGAAAAAAAAAGACATCCATTCACATCCCGCTTCAATCTTTACCTTGGAGCTGTGCCGAGAGCGACTCCTGATGTTGCTGGTACTTCAGCGCCATCGCCTCTGTCCTCTTGAGCTGTTTGTGCACCTCATACGAGATCATCCCGCCGTACATCATCCCGCAGACCACGGTGAGCAACAGGAGAAACTGGAAGATCCTGCGCTGCCTGCGGGAGCACACCCCGTTCCCCATGTTGGACCCACACCCCTCCCCGCTGTCTCCGCGAGGAAGCCCCGTCTCTGCTGCTGGAAACTTCCGACACAACTTTTCACCTCCTACCTGGGTGTCGACTAAACAAACCCCCCCTCCCCGAGCATTTCCAACACCGAAAATACGACTTAGGCGCTAATATTCCCCCAATGTGTACATTATTTAGCAAAGCCCCATCCACTTACGACTCTCCCCTGTGACTTCAAAGTAGCCGCTCAGATTTTCGCCGTCAAACTCTCCCTCTGCGCTGTTCACATGCAAAACAAACCGAGGCGGACGACCGAACAGCTGCTCACCGTTTCCTCCCTCGGACTTGTAAATTTCCAATTCTAAGACGCTTAAGAAGAGTGGAGTAAATCCTCAAGTCCCCTACAAGGCCTCCACAGCACCTTTAACTTCAGTTACGTGTCAAGCCAGCAGCTGCCTGCCATCCAACTACTGCCATGAAGGAAGTCCCTCCCTCGAACCCACCAGAAATGTCCCTACTCCCGCCCTCAGAGGAGCTCACTATATCAATTGGTCACCAGAGAGCTCGATCAAAAGCAAAAAGTAATGCGAGGGTAAAAAAAAAAGTTGGGTAGGCCTGCTTTTAGTCTACCAATAACAATATAATGCACAAAAGGGCTTTTGAAATGTCATAAAATAAATAGCCAAAAATAGTGATTTGAAGCACTAAACCCTGCAATAAATGTGAAAATTCAATTGAGCTGTTATAATTATTTTTTTATAGGCCTAGGTTAAAAATGAGTAACCCTAGTGGCTCAGGCATGTTTAAGTTAGCCTAACTGTGCACATATCAGTTCATCAAGTCTAAAGGTTCCCAAAAATATCAACATTTTCAAAATACTTTATTTTAAACAAATCATTGCTAGATACATTGTGTAAAGTTTGCAAAACAAGGCTTTACAAGAAATTAACATGATACATTCAGAATTATATTTGGCAAGTGTAAAAAGTGGCATTAAAATAAATGAGAATGATTTAAGGTAACTGTAGTTTCCGCATTCTGTGATCTTTAAAATTAAACTGAGGAAATTGAACATGACGCTAGAATGCAGGCGTGCTTGTGGTACCTACGGTCTCTAAATGTACTATGGGAGGTAGAGCCTTCAGTTATCAGGCTCCTGTCCTTTGGAATCAGTCAGGGAGGCAGACACACTCTGTACTTTTAAGAATAGACTTTAAATAGTCCTTTTTGGTAAAGATTAAAGTTAGGCTTGGCGCAGGTATAGACCAGCTCCTAGTTACGCTGCTATAGGCTTAGACTACTGGGGGAACTGACACCTTGAGTTGCTCTCTCTCTCTCTCTCTCTCTCTCTCTCTCTCATCATATTATAAGTCAATATCTGTAAATCTTAGTTACTAACCACATCTTCTCCTGGGAGCTGCTGAGCTCTCATGTCTCGTAGGTTCCTCGGGTTCGTTGGTGGACAGCCTGCCTGCTTGGACGCTCTAACCTTCTGCCTGCACCTTATCCAAAATCCCCCTATCCCATTTTCCAAGCCCGTGGCAGTTTCTGCTGATGGCTGATCATCATAAACCCGGTTTTGCCCAAGATTCCTGCCTCTTAAAAGGCAGTTTTTTTCTTGCCACTGTAACTTTGCCAAATGTAACTTCTGCTTATGATTGATTAACGTTGGGTCTTTGTAATATAGCAATGAGTAAGGTCTTTTTACCTGCTCTTTTGTAATATGAAATAACGAGTAGGTCTTTTACTTGCTTTTTGTAACATAACAATGAGTAAGGTCTTTTACCTGCTTTTTAAGCTTTTTAAACTCTAACCCTAACCATTCATGATACTATGCTTGAGTTATATCCTTTAAATATAACTTATTTTACTCCTAAATAATTGACATAGTAATATGTTACTCACTACATTAACCTCTCATTCATAAACAAAGACAAAAATCGTATTCAAGGACTACCGCAGTTTATTCAAGTTTTGTACAATAAATAATCAGTTGTGATCATAAATATGGATTTTTTTACATAAGGAAAGTACAGAGCTAACATTTATAATAAAACTGGCCGTATTTCTTAAAGCTCCTGTGAGGATTTTTCCATTTCTCGATGATCTTTGCAGAAAAAACATTAAAATGTTTAGTTTGTTGAGAATCATATGTGTAGAAAAAAGGGTCTGTTTTGTCAGCTTACAGTAAATTACTGTGTGTGATACCTGCCCCCCTGGTAGGGGTTACAGGCATTACAAACTACAATATAGATATAATTATTCCTCTTGCTGTTTGTCTAATTTAGAATAAAGAGGCATTATTATTAATTTCAGTCTGTCTCATGGCCAGCTAAAAACATCTCACAGGAGCTTTAATGTGATACAATAAATACATCTGAAGAACACAGTCACTTTCAAAGTAAAAATAAGTTAAGTGTCCTACAGTGTGCAGCGAGTTATATTAACTATAAATATGCTGGTTTAAGTGCTATGCTTAGAAGGATAATATCAGGCTCATTTGGAAAATAACTGAGAAGTTATCAAAGTATGACTCATGCAATACAAAAATAATTTACAAAGACTATGGGTAAAAAAATGCCTACAATAATAATAATAATAATAATAATAATAAAGTAATAATATATATACTTATAATGCATCTTTCAAAACCAGAATTGCAAGGTGCCACACAGGCCAACATTTCAATACATGGGAAAAAAAACAACAAAGAGTAGGCAGTGATGTAAAAAAGTTAAAAATCCACAGTCAGATAAAATAAATTAAATGAATTATAAAAAGGTAAAGAAGCACACCAATTAAGAGAAGGCCCTTGGATGAAGTAATGTATTCAGCAACGATTTAAAAGTGGACACAGACTTGGCTCATAATCTGAGATCCTCTGGCAGGGAGTTGCAGAGTTTACGGGCCAAAACATCTCAAACCCCGTTACCTTTTGTCACAAGTCGAGATTCAGGAATGAACCAAACGTTCCTGCCAGAGGAACTCAGACAGAAATCAGGTGCAGTAAAACATCACAACAAGAACATGGTGACTGACTGTGTAAGGCTTTAAAAACTCAAACCTTAAAACGAATTCTAAAACTAAATGGTAACCAGTGAAGAGCACCAAGAACAGGAGTGATGTGCTTGTTTCTTCTGGAGGGAGTTATAAGCCAAGCAGCAACATTTTGTACAAACTGTAGCCTTTGAATGCTTCCCTCACTGACGCTAGAGTACAGTGCATAACAGTAATCAAGTCTGAGGGTGATGAATGCATGAATGACCTTTTCTAAGTCTGAACAAGAAAGAAAGGATCTAACCTTGAAAAACAAATCTGAGCTATAGTTGAAATAAGACAGCACCAGTTTGGACAACTGAGTATTAAATGAGAGACTGGTGTCGAAGACCACGCCAAGATTTCTGGCCTCTTCTTTTAAGTACATGGACAAGGGACCCAAACTGGACATGAGTGATCACTAGAGGTGGGAAAAAAATCGATTTAAGTAAAAATCAAGATTCTTATCTTCTGAGATTTTAAATCGATTCTTAATTTTCAAAAATTGATTTTTTTTTGTGGCTAATCAGTCACTCCCTGCTAAGTGCTACAGCTAGCTCTTAACTCAGTAGAATGCCAAATGGAGCAGCAAGAAATTCAGCCAGTCTCACAGATGACTGGAGTAGATCCTGAGTGTATACCAATTCAAAAATAGACTTTGAATCATGAAGCCAGAATCGTTTTAAATCCAAAATAGATTCTGAATTGAATCGTGCCCCCCAGAATCGAAATAAAATCGAATCATGAGACATCCAAAGATTCCCAGCCCCTGTGACTGATCACATGACCAAAATAGGAACTAAAAAAAAAGGATGGATGCTACAAAATAAATGCAGCATGGGCTCAGGTAACTTTCCCTTCATTTACAGAAGGACTGTTTCCGAACATGAAGCATTGTGCTCATATTACAAGCCCGTTCTTAACACACACTGTGGAAAAATAAGATTGTACGATACTGAGGTAGAAAAACTGCAGATCTGCACTATTCTTGTTGAAGAGTGAAAGCATCACAAACATACCGTGTAACATTTGACACAACGTTCATGTCCTTGTAACTTTACCAGTGATCTCAATGAATGTCTGCTTACTGTAGCTCATGATTAGGACAATGATTTGTTCTCTTCTGTTTCTGCTCTCCATCTATTTGTCTTTACTACCTTGAATGAAGCTAAGAAGGTTTATTTACAAGTTGACTTGACAAGGGCATCTTCAGCTTCAAACCTGATAAGATAGAAACCTCTACTTTTGCATATTATGACTTCAACAAGTGTCTGAATAATATCCTATTAGTTTTCCTATTCTTAGATATATCTTAAAATAAGCCAGTTAACCATCGTGTCTCTTTTTAAATAAAAGCCTTTGGATGCCATAAAGATGTAGTTTTAATTTGAATCAGAAAAATACAAAAACAAAACACACTTCTTAATCGTTAGCTAGTATAACTCTATTTTCAATTTAAAATAAGTCAAACTCTGAAATGGCTATACAGCATTTTCATATTGAGACCGTGTTTAGTCTTGAAGGCACAATCTGTCTCTTCTTTATCAGGGGAGCAAAAACATCAGAGAAATGCAGCATCCCTTTGAACTAGGAATGAGGCCATAACACGCCTGAAGTCAAACGAGCATCTTTCAGGTAGAAGGAAAAAGCTCCTTGTAGACAAACTCGGATGTATACGCCACTCAAATACCAAACCAGGTGAAAAAAAAAAAAAAAGGTCCCATAACATGCATCCTTTTATAATACTGCAGTCCTCTACCTCAATATTTACCCTGTCAGAAAATAGTAAATGTAACAGGCACTTCATTGTTCTATGACACTTGGATTTGTGGAAAGACATCCAGGGTTAAATCTTCCTCATTTGGGTGTGATAGATCAAGATGGCAAATACAAATATCAAGGGATCCCAGTGGAGATATCAATCAACTGTTCTGTACTCATGGGGCGCTGGTTGGCCCAGCATTAAAGTTGCAGGCCTGACGTACAGAGGCTGTAAACCTCTGCGGACAGCCAGGGTTTCAGCTCCTTTCCTGCATGTCATTCCCCAGTCTGCTCAAAAATAGACTACAAAAAGCACACTGCGATTGCCCGCTGCTACGTACAATGCTTCAACAAAGTGTTGTACTGTTTCTGAACTTGTCAAGAGTGAATCAATCAGCAGCAAGAACCCGCAGTTTGATTTCAAAACAAACCGCAGACTGACAGTCGGTCTCGATCCAAATGATGAGTCCTATAGCATTGACAGTTCCACTTCCTCGCACAGCAATGGCTCCACCTCTGGGATGCTGAGTGGTTTGCTGCTTTTGGCAGATTTGTTCTTCCTGTACATGATAAACTGGAGAGTCACCTGAACAAGGTTAAGGCTCAAACGAAGACATACAGACATAGAATTCCTTTACAAGGAGTACTTATGATAAACCGTCTCAAACACACAGAAGATGTCTTCTTAGCTAGTTAGTGACATTTTGGGAAAAACAACTATTTCCTTTCTTGCAATGTATTAGATGAGAATGTCTAATGTCTTCCGTTTAAAGTGTGAAACAAGGTTACGACCTGCTCCCAGTTAGCATAGCATAAGACTGGAAGCAGAGGGAAACCTTTGCGCCAGTCTTTATGACAAGATACAGTAAACTAACCAGATGCTTTCTGCAGCCTTAAACAAATCGTTTGCAGTCAGTACTGTATGAAAGAGCTTAAATGACAAGCCAAAGACAGTAAACATTTAGGATGTGTACAAATAGAAACATTGTTGAAGGGTGAACCTCATAACCATTTCACGTTGTCACATGCAGGTTTTAGATTGAACAGACTTGGTGACTGTGAGTTGTGATTTAAAGGATACAAAGAAGTCGAGTAAGAGCACTCCCAGGCTGCCGATGAGCCAGGCCAGATGTTTGATGATGAAGGACTGTTTTGAGCCCCTCAGTGCAGGAAGGACAACGACGACGCTCAGCCCGTATGTCCCGTTACCCATCATAGCCAGGGCGAACAGCAGGTAGGAGGTGCCCTCTGTGGACTGTCGCTGGAACTGGATTACATACAAAGAAAACAGCATTTAATCAATGAACCAACTGCAGAACAGTTACCTACAGTGGAGTTGTGAGTATTGTTTATGTTGTCAGAGGGTATAATGTCGTCCAGCTAACTACTGAGGTGAAAGTCACAATCAGAGAGAGGCTATGTACTGTTGGTTCACTGAAGTCCGCTGAAGTGATCATGAACAATGAGTTCATTCTATAGACTAGTCTGTAGCATGCACATCTAACACTGTCCATATATTCTTCTGTGGTTTGTCAGTGTAGCTACAAATAAGCAGACGAAAAGCATTTACCCTCTTTTGTTTAACATCTTAACATTTGAATTTTGAGAGGAGATTTGAATATTCTGACGCAGCCAGTGAGATGAATGTGTAAGAGACTAAAATGTTGCCTGGCAACACAATGATAATACCCGTGCGTTTACTATATGGGCTCAAACTAAACTAGAAAACCAGCCAGTGTTTGCCACAGTATCACTGAGATGAATTATAAATAACAGTTATGGAAAACGGATAAGTAACTTTGGCATTAGAAAACCAAATCTGACTTGAACATTTAACATAAGTCAAGGAAAATGTGTTTGTGTGTGTGTGTTTGTGTGTGTGTGCGTCTCCAGGAGTTTCTCCAGCATGGTCTACAGACTTTTAGAAGATCCCCTCTGGTCGTTAATAGCTTTAGTCGAGCCATGCTGTTTCTCCAGCACAACTGCACTATTGTCTTTAACTTCTGCTTCTCATTTATTTACACATTTGTGTGTATACAAATACATAAATCCCGCCCCCCTCTACAAACACACAAACAGAGTGCGTGTTTATGACTAATAGACAATAAGATCATTTTCCATGGAACCCCTTAGATCAGACACCGTGTCCAAGATCTCCCGTCGAGATGGCACTCCTCACATGTGTAGCCAGATGACAGAGAGAGAAGGACACATCGGACTTACATTTTTATAGAGCTGGGGGAAACGGGAGCAAAGGTAGAAGACAGATGCCAGGTATCCACAGATGTAGCCGGTGATTTCCACTGATCTAGAGGTAGGAGGGCTCTGCGAGGATGAGGATACACAGAGGAACAGAGAGAGAAAGAGCGAGAAGGAGTGAGCGAGGACAAAGAGAAGGGGAATGAGTCAAAATGTTGCAAATACAAACGTTAACTGAACAATTACAATCTCCCCTCAAAAAAAGGAGACTAATATTTATTCATTAAGGCTTAAGATATCCAGGAAAATAATGCACCACACAAACAATAATCGATGCAAATATGTGCAGTACAGTGGACACAAGCCACCTACCTGGGTGTCTAAAGTTGGACTGTTATCTATGAGGAGTTTGGGTAAAGCAAGGAGAATGATTGAAGCAGCGCCACACCACATGAAGCACATCCACTTCAGAAAAGGGCTCTCTAGGGTACACACAAACACAACACAAAGAACAAACAGTGAAGGCACACAGTACAAATAAGACAAATAATAAAATCCAACTATTTGCATTAGCTGATACTCAGTCCACAGCCTCATACATAGAGTTTATACAAATTGTTCTCCTCTAAGCAGGAGTCATGAACTATCTAAATTAATTCATGTTAACCACTCATAGATGTATGACTGCTATAACTGTACCTGTCATGTCTACAGTAAGTACAGTTAGGTGGCTCTTTTACTAATTTCATAGTAGAGAAACATGATTTTTCCTTTCCTGTTATAATCCCACATCATGTTGTTAAATGTCTATTTTAGGAATCGTTCATTGGCAGGTTTAAGTTTCGTAAAGGAGGAACGTAATCTCCGTTTGTCTGGGGGAGCTAGCTGTGTTGATTAACATGATTATTATCAAACCATGAAGATAGAGCTTGACTGATTGTGACTTTTTGTGAAATCTGCCATCAAAAATAACATCAGATTCAGCTTTTAAAATCAGTATCATTACCGTCTAAAGTATTACATTAGAATTCATTCCGGAGTTGCATTTTTAGATATCTTGTGTATCGTCTAGATCACTGGTACCTAAAGTGTGGGTCAGGACCCTCCAGGGGCTACAGGCCACCAAGAGGGGGGGGCTTGAGATGCTTTCCAAAAAAACGTATGCAATTCTAAAATAATAAAAATTGTGTTTTTCAACAATTATTGTAAAAATATATTCAAAAGTAGTTCAGTTTCAAATAAAATCCTATCATTAAGGTCAAAAAAAGGAAATGAATGTGTAAAAATACATTACATACAGAAACATTGTAAGGGCTTACTTCTGCTGGAGCTGTTCTTGATCTTATAGTAGAGAAACTGAGAGACGAGGATCAGGTCTGTGAAGATGTAGAACACCACTGTGACCACCTGAAAAAAAAGGGATAGTTAAGGGAATTCAAAGGTTATTTGAAATGTTGGATTTTGCAACGTAACTCATATCATGTCTATTATGGGTAGTAAAGTGTTAATTTGTCTGTGTGTGTGCATGAGAATAACCTTGTGTGGGTACTCTTGTATTTGCCTGTTGTACTCCAGTGAATGTGCAAAGAAGGATGCATATATGTTCCATTAATGCTTTTGAGCTCATTTATCCGGCAGGCTGCTGTGATCATCGTTTGGGACTCACTGCTGCTGTTGAACTATTTGACTCCAGCTGCTACAATTAGAAACATTTTACGACTATAATGTCATTTTAAACATAAGCCTGTATCACCTATAGTTGTTTTTGTGTCAGAATGTATCCCTGTCTGTCTGTCTATTTGTCTCTATCCATCTCTTTCTTATTCTCCCTTTGTCCCAGTTTCTTGGGCCACCCAGTCGATGCAGATAGCTTTTAACCTACAAGTCTGGTGTGTGTGTGTGTGTGTGTGTGTGTGTGTGTGTGTGTGTGTGTGTGTGTGTGTGTGTGTGTGTGTGTGTGTGTGTGTGTGTGTGTGTGTGGTTACCTGGATGGGAAGCTGGCTGGTGAGGTAGCAGCCCGCAAAGCTGGTCAGGTCTCCACTGAAGAGGAAGATAAGAAAGCCAAAAGACATGGCCTCCTCTACTTTACCATTCCTATATGCCTCATAGACCTGCCTATATACACAAGACAGAAACAAATAAGATCAAATCAGTTCCATAATCATAAATCACAAATGCTCTTCAGCCTGAGACACAGAAATGGGGTGAAAAAAATGAACACAGTAGGTGAGGTTGATGATTTCCAGTTACTTTTCAATGTTAAAAAAACACAAAATAAAAATAAATCAAAGTAATTGTTGTTAACCAAAATGACAACAATTGCATATAAACACATTGATTCTAACACAGGTCTTTTTTTTTTGTCCCACTAATGGAAAAGTGTGGGTTCCAATCACACATGCACATAAGGGGGAAGTATTACTGAGCACCGAGTTCTACCTCAAACTTTAACACTTGGTTAGGATAAAGAAATCACAGTAGCTTTCCTACTTACGGCAAAGTGGACAGCAGAAAACAGAACATGGATACCAGTCCTATCACAACGCTGCAGTACTCCCACACATTATCCACACACTCCTCCAGCAGGTAAAGGATCCACGGTGTCCCGTTGACACACACAGGCCGGCCCACAGCTGGAACTGTCACGTTAACTCCGGCCACGTCCACACTCTTCCTGGGGAAGCCCGCGGTGGCCATAGCGAGGTACAGGCTGCTTGACTAGCTGCAGGCGCTGCCTCCAAACAGTAAGTAGATGTGTGTTTATACTGGCAACAAGAACCAAACCTGATGAAAGCCGGTATGACACACCTACCTACCTCATAAAATACATGTGTGAAGATGACATGTTCTGTCATTTGACGAGTCTGCAAGACAGTAACAATAGATCAAAACATCAGGCATGGGCAGAGTAACATAAAAAAATAAATAAATAAACAATGACACCAGCCAGATGATGTGTGCAAATGAAAAGTGTTTAAAAAAAAACTGCGTTAGAGTAAATCAGAAATGATTAATAATGCCAATACTTCCCCAAACCACATCTGTCTATTTTTATTTATTTTTTTATTTTTTTAAATCGTAATCTGCTTTTGCTTGTCCGATTGGTCAAATCACTGTTCGGGAAAATTTGCATCAGACTTGGAGATAAAAGATGCTAACAATCAGAGATGGAGAAAATCTGCTCTTCTATTTAGCTTCCACTCACCGGAAGAAGTGGACTCGATACAGATTACAGAGTGTTTGTGGATCTGCGTACAGTTCATCGACATCCTCGCACATTCCTGTCTAAGTATTTCCATTAAAAGAATAATACTGATTAGCTACTTCTCAATGTTGTCATTCATCGCTCGTGGTCCCTAGTGTCAAAACATCCTCGATGACATCACTATATCCTGTGAAGCCATTTCAAAATAATACCCTGACAGACTTCTTTTTAATTTTAATTTTAATTTTTTATAAAAAAAACTTCTTCACTCATCAGCAAATGGACAATTATTACAGTACAGTCACAATTGTTGGACAGATATTCAATTGAAGTATATTTTAAACTCACAAAGGCTTACACACCTAGCTCTGGCTCTTAAAAAGGATGCGTCCATGAAGAAGTACGACAAACTGTTTTATTCTGTTCTTTGTAAAATGTAAAATATAGTTTAAAAAGACAGAAGATATTCAACTTAAATGTTTTCGTGGCGTTATTATATTACAGCTGTTTGTGCTTCTGAAAAAGATAACATATAGCTTTAATTCATCAGACATGCCTAGGAATTTCAAAATGTGCTCTCAACTTTTTGTATTTTTTCATTTAGGATTTGATTTGATTTCAATCTAAAAGTCCCAATAGTCAATGGGGATTTTCATTTACAAAATAAATGAGAGGACTTGGAAGCGCTTGGAAGTAACTAATTCTGTGCTTTTATTTTGAAGGCTTTGGATTCTCCACCAATTTTTATTACCGGTACACTGGTGTGCCCGGAAACTGCACATCTCAGATCCAGATGGATAAGTTGTGTGAAAATGTCGCCACCTACTGATCACATGGAGGAATTGTCAGTGCATTCTTACGGGAGCTGATTTAGTGGATAACTAGGGCTGTCATACACTCATAATAATTAATAAAATCTAAAACAATAGTGTGAAAAATATCTAGATTTTTTGGTAGAACCCTCATACAATGTCTTATATTAGCCCGGATGTATGCGCTGTTTTAATCGTAACAATGCCACTACTGCTGTTCTGCCAATAAGCAACCACTGCTTTTATAACTGATGATATAAGTCACTCTAATAATTATAGAATCATTTTTTAATTTCGATTTTAATTTTTTAACTTACAGCTATTTTTTTCCAGGACCATCTGTTGTTTTTACAGAAACAGGCAAATCTATCTATTCCTCTTAGCTATCAACTTGCTGATGGTAGAACCATTACGGCACTCAAGAAAATATTAAAGAGGCCAAGATGTAAGCTGGGTGAAGAGATTTGAAAAAAACTTGGTTTAGTCATCATATCTGATCACCATCCGTTTATCTCTCAATCCCCGTGGTACCATGCTGCTTTCAATGTCTTATTGTAAATGTCGAGGAGGATTGGATCAGAATTTAAAGTATTGAATGGCAACAAAAAAAACACAAATAATAATAAAGGAAACATGTTAGAGTATACCGTAATTAAGTGTCGGTTCAATGTTTCTTTTTTTAATATAAAAACAAACCCTTAATTGTCCCTGTGAAACGAAATTTGCTGTGCCTGTGCGTCTCTAAAAACAAAAAAGAACATCACATGCATTCTTCATCACACATGTCCATCCATAAAAGCTTTAAATAAAAAAAGTCAAAATAAAAGTAATGAGGGGAAAAAGCCTACTCAGTGCAGTCATCAGTGCTGTAGGACATTTGAGTATTATTGCACCGTAGAAGAATATTAAGCTATTGCACATCAAATGGTATTGTACCATGATTTTAATTGTTTAATTTCATTGCATAATGTTTATAATTGCACATTCAATGTTATGCACAATAATTAGTTAATTAGTACTGCACATGAGCTGGTATAGCGTCATAGGCTAAATATTATTGCACGAGAGATGTTATAGCATCATGCATATTGCACATTAGATATTTTACACCATGAATGTTATTGCACATAAAATGAAATTAGGCCATCAATAATAGGCTATAGCACATCAAGTATTTTACACAACATTTAACTGTAATTAGCGATAGCCTACTAGCCTTACTGCCAGGGGCGTCGTAGTAGGGGAAAAAGTGGAACTGACTACCCAGGGCCCAGTGGGGACGGGGGCCCTTCATGGGCCTGAAATAAAAATGTATTTCTTATTTCGCTTTTTTCTTTAAGTTATAACAAATAAGATAACTAAAATTGTCTGAATAAATAAACAAACATTCAGAATTCCTTTCTGGAAAAAATGTGGAGTCTGTCTCAAAGGCTTCAACTGTCTGAAAGGTGTGTATATTACAAAGTTTAAGTTATTTTTAAACTATGAGGAAATATTACAGTGATTATTTAGCTCCCATTTTCAGGGTGTAAAACAAAGCATAGTCGTTCAAAGTTTTTATGGGTCATTTGTCGAGGTGCAGGGTTAGTTTGGGCCGTGGTACGGGGCCCAATGTGATATCTTTTCATGGGGCCTGGAGTTCCTGGAGGCGGCCCTGCTCACTGCTAAAAGTGCGTGACCACATTTCAGCTGCTTCGTTAATTTACAAAAGTCATGCAAATCACTATATTTTCTTGAAGTACTTGAAGGCAGCAACCTGTCCCTCCCTTTATGCACCTGTTGAGTCGCGCGCTCTCATCGGCCGCACGATGGCGCGCTTTCCAATGGTGGCGGTGGGTGAAGTCTTTCTCTAAGGGGGGAACTTGCAGCCGTACAGGGGCAATTTCTGTCGCTATGTGCCGCTTCTTGACCGCGGTTTGGAGGTAGGCTACTGAACAAAGATACTCGAAGTCCAGGTGCCCTCGTCATGCACGGAGCAGGTAAGCTTTTCGACGCTGTAGGTGCTGATAGGAAATGAATCGCATTTTTTTTTTTTTTTTTTTTTTTTTCTTCATGTTGCATGTTATTCTGTATTGTGGACAGGACTCGTTGCCGGGCTCGATGCATGCTTTGCCACCCACACTCCGTGATGTCGGGAAAGTTGACTGGATTAGGTGAAAGCTTTTTCTTTTTTTGTCCGAGCAATGATGTGCTTTCCTAGAGGTTCACTAAATAAATATAAATGAGAATAGACTACTCAGGAAAGAGCGCAGGTGCATCCGGATAACATAGGGTACCCTAAATCGTGGGCTTATTGCTCTATCTTAAACCTATCACAGGGTTAAATAGTGTACTTTGATAACAGGTGTATTTGCAGAATGACTACGCCTGTAGAGGCTAAGCTTAGAATAGGCTACAGCCAAACGTCATTTTGGGGAGTATTAGGTTAAGTTTGGTTGAAACATTAGTTATTTGCCACTTACATCAGCCTTACTTCCTAGACCCCCCCCCCTCCCTCTCCCTCTCTCTCTCTCTCTCTCTCTCTCTCGCGGTGTGTTTCGGTGTAAATACAGTGGAATGTGCTCTCAAGAGCTTGAAAGGCAAGTTCAGTTGCATAACTTACATTTAGTCTGTGCATTTCTTCTCTTAATTCTCTGTCCCAAGTCGAAATCCACTGTTGCTTCATGCCTCTTGTGAGAATTCAGAGAGGGAGGAGTTGGGGGTGTGACACTCCTCAAGGTCACAGACAGACAGATGCTGATGTCCCGGGAAGGAATTATACTGTCTGGATTGTAAAAAGACTAAAGGAACACTAGTTGTAAAACAAAAAAAAGTATAAAAAAAAGACATTTTCGTCCACAGTTTAATTGAAACCACAATGTGTGTGCAAAAATGTTGCTATCTTTATTCTGAAACTGCAATTCATCCATGTTCTCATTCATTTCCTTTCATTCCTGCCCTGCCAAATCTGGCAGCCGTGAAGCCGTCTGTCCTTTGCAGGGGAGGACACATATGGAAACTATATATGACTTTTGCGTTCTTATTTCCAGCCTGTAATGGCCTAAGAGCATGCCTTGCAGGTACTTCTTTTCTTGATTCAAAGTATTTGATTTGTCATGTGACTTGTGTTATCTTGGAACTAGCAGACTCTGTCAGTTTTTCTGTGAAACGATGGCGAAACGCCGTTTAAGTGGGATTGTCTCTTGTCCATCGCTGCATTTCCATGCGCTGAAGACATACTGTAGGACTATAGCAGTAGAAAGCATGAATTAATCGTACACTTAATTACTTATTTAAACCGTATACTCACCCAGGAAGCGGGACATCTTGGTGATGATTTCTAAACTTAGAAACATATTAAACATGCATTTAGTTTAGTATATTTGAAAGCAGCTCACTTTAAAAAAAAAAAAACATTTTAGGCACTGAATTTTTTCCTTTGATCCTTCACTCTTGGGTCCAACCTATGTGCTCTGTTCAGCAGCTCTCAGGGAAAGGGTCTGAGTTTGGGCTGGAAAAGGCAGTGGGGAGTAATGAATAATGAATGGTTTAGAAAATCTGCTTGAATTTGGCAGTAATGCACTTCTCCGACCAGCACTCTCCCTCTCTGCTATGGAAATCCTCTCAGCAGTTAGGAGTCTCACAGCTCAGAAAAGCCACACGTCCTTGCTTTGGGTCTGGTTTACTGCCATTTGACACAGTTATGCCTGCAGAGACACATGCACACACTTACATCCACAAGTATGAACACAAACACACACTAAAGGCAGCTTAAATCAGTCTAGAGACCTTCTACTCAAAGGGGATTTTCTTTTGGTGATGACATTTCTTTTTTTTTTTTTTTGCCTGTCTGGGACTCAAATTAGTTTCACCCATGAATCCTGCACAGTGGTTCCCAAAGGATAATTTGTGTGACCGGTCTGGATTATAGCTGAGAGTTTGAATGGTGTATGGCAGCATTCCTGTTGAAGAAGAAACAAAATGAATGGAAGTATAAAAGAGTAAGACAGATCAAATTAAACAACATAATTAGTGGAAGATACTCATAGCACAAATGTCATTGATGAGCTCATTAACAGGCCACACATGCACAACACAAGTCAGTCAGGGTGTCAGTACTGTCTTTAACTTACTGCTTTGCTACTTAGACCATGTCTTCTCATTCTGCATTAGTTACTGTGGTATTCATGTGTGTCGGATTTAGTGCTCCTGTGGTCTGGTTCTGGTGTCCCTCATCAGGTCGATGGTGCCCGCTCTCATGAATGAGTGAGAGAAAGAGTTTTTTTTGGCCTGTGTTTTCCCTCTCTTGTCTCTTGCATATTTACAAGTCTTGTCTTTATTTATTTCCCAGTGACTTCAGTGTCTTTTACAGTAGCTATTTTCTCTAGCTCCTGACTTACTCTAATTCCCAATCTGCACTGCACAGCTGCATTACTGTAGGGCATAAATTATGAACAAACACGCACACATACACCAACATATATTAAACAGTTCACTCCAGCATGTTGATAAGCTAAACCTTGGGGCGTCTATCATTCTTAACTTGAGTTCTTTGCAGCAGTGGGGATATTTTTTTCTAAAGTCAGCAGGGAATGTCTTCTTTGCCACTTCTTCATCTTACTTATTCATGAAATTCATGGCATCACTTACATAACCGATTGGCCCAGTTATAGAAAATACTATCAACCTAAACAGCTTTTTATCAAAGTATCACAGACAATAGATGTCTGATGGGGATTTGTCAAAAAAGTTATCTGAAGACCCAAACATGAGGTATTACAGACTAATGTATTGTTTTTCATTTTAATTCCACTGTTAACTAATTATCTTTGAGGACTTTTGGACCTTTCGCATTATATAGATGGAACTATGATTAAAATGAGCCTGTTCATGCTTATGTCTCAATGTGTTTACTATTTAGTTTTCAACATCGTTCAAACATGTACTCTCAATGGAAAAGTAAGTGTGTTTTATAGGGGAAAAACTAGTCATGAAAGCAAGGTGAGTGTATAGTTTTGTCTATACAGTTTTGCCTTCTGTCTGCGTATAAAACTAAATGATCAAAGTGAACACTGCTTGCTACAACAAAGATAATATGTCGTCTTTACAGTATAGTTAAAGTGACAGAAGATCCCAGTAGCCTCAAAGATAGCAAACTGTAGGCAGTTGGGGATGCTTATCTTTGTGGACTTCAAACACTTTTTTGAATAGCAGCTTTCCAAAAAGGTTGAGCCTGAAACTACTCCAAAATCCCTCCTCCTCCTTCTCCTACTTCCTCCCCCACTCTCAAATCCACATAATAATTATGTGCATAAGTAAAGACTGAAAAGTAGAGAAGAAAGCAATCGACCAGGAACTTCATTTAAGTGTGGCATAAAGAAAGAGAGGCAGAAAGAAAAGATGAGAAATATTACATCCACGTTCTGCTTCTCATTTTATATTCAGTCAAATGAAAAGGAGTAATGCAGAGAGAACAGTGGAATTCAGGGCTTTTCTGAAGTCCCTCTGTAGTCCCTTTCTGTTTCTCCATTTCACCCTTTCTCAAGTATTTGTATGAGTCTCTCCGTGTGAGTCTGCGTGTGGGTCTGTGTGTGAGTCTCTGAGTCTGTGTGAGAGTCTCTGTGTGTGAGTCTCTGTGCTGTCTTGCAGGTGCACCTTACTCATAAGGATGGGCTGACTGAGCAGAGAGTGAGAGAGAGAGAAGGGGAGGGACTGGGATAGATGTGTGGTGGTGGTCTGTCTTATAGGTCAAACAAAAGAGCCAGTGTTTCCTCTCTCTCCCTCTCTGAGAGCACTGAGTGAAGACAGTAATAGCAGTGGAGGAGGAGAGTGAGGCCCTTCGGTCACATTGTCCTCACATAGCCCCCCCCCCCCCCCCCCCCCCCCCTCTACTCCCCCCACATGCAGGCCCCCCTGCAGCAAGTACACCCCATGTCACCCCTCACCCAGTGGCCCACTCACACAGATCTCTTGCAACATGTGGGTGCCTGCTGGAGCTTTACATTCAGCTGAATATCACTTTAAATTATTGTCAAAGTATTTTCAAAAGTATTTAAAATAAAAATACTGACAGCAAGTGAGATGAAAACACTTATACTCCTCTGAAAACTGTGAAGTAGTTAAAGTGTGTATCATAAAATACAAGTAAAGACCAGCCAATAAGACTGACTTTTAATGTGTGTGTGTGTGTGTGTGTGTGTGTGTGTGTGCGTGTGTGTGTGTGCGTGTGTGTGTGTGCGTGTGTGTGTGTGTGTGTGTGTGTGTGTGCATGTGCGTGCACGAGTGTATGTCTGTGTGTGAGTGTGTGTGTGTTTAAAGGCCACATTCCTGAGCTAGCTGAGCCGTAGCTGGGTGATTAATAGTAACTAGCTGATTGTTTAAGAAGTGAAATTCCTCAGTCCTGTTTTTTCGTCTGCTATTACACACACCTGTATGCACACACACACACACACACACACACACACACACACACACACACACACACACACACACACACACACACACACACACACACACACACACACAGACGCTCAGTCACTAAGTCACTCAGGAGGGTTGTGACATAGTGAGAGCAGGGAGCAGGATATGATACAGTAAATGAACAACAGTTCATTGGGAGGCGAGAGAGGATGCATGTAGAGTATACTTCACTGCATTTAGAGCTGTTCAGGTGTATGTGTGTAATAAGAGTGCATGTGAGGCATTCAGGTAGAATAAAGGCAAGTCAGTATGAGTATTGTCTAAGGGCTACACAGAATTTAGGACAGCGAAACATTATCCACCTCTGGCTCTCTCTGTCTGCCTCTCTGTGTCTGTCTGCTCCTCTGACGCTCTCTGTCTCTTTTTCTGTCTGAGTGTGAATGTGTCCAACTGTCATCCCTCCTTTTCTCCTGGTGATGCTGGCTTTATTCTCTTTAGTCTCTCTTGTTTTTGTTTCCCTTATCTACTCTCTGAATTTGTGCAATTCTTTATTGCCTGATAAATATAAATCTTAGTGCCCCCATTATTTATTGGTTGGGGGATATTAAATCTCTGCTATGTTTAATGCAATACAGGTTAGCAGCAACATCACAAGGCAGCTCAAAAAACATTCAAACACATATTAAAGTCTCTCATAAAGTTTAACCTTTAATTGAGGAGGATTGAATGCTGGACACTTGTATTAAACTTCATTAGTACCAAATATGTTTTGTCATTCTGGTCCCAGCAGCCTGGCTTGGACCACTGAGAATTCCTGATGTGGTATCCCGGCAATGGGCGTGTTTCCATGGCAGTCACCGGCTTGGCAGGACCGATAGCGGTCTCCCAAGTGCCGTGCTTTGTGCCGTCCTTTGGTGTAGCCTGTGCCGGCTGCAGTGTGACTTCAGAGAAACATTGTGAGAACGAGTTGACGTCTGATTGTACAGAGAAAGGGGACGCAGGGAGCAGACAATGACACAGATACATATGCTTAGCTGTTCATCTTCTGAAAGCAGTGCAACAGACAAGCTGGGTGGCTGCTTTCAGGACTGTATGTGTATGTCTTGGAAATATATTTCTAGCATGGGAAAACACAGTTTGTGTGTACATGTGTGTGTGTGTGTGTGTGTGTGTGTGTGTGTGTGTGTGTGTGTGTGTGTGTGTGTGTGTGTGTGTGTGTGTGTGTGTGTTTGTGTGTGTGTGTGGTTAAAGTCCCCTCTGCCCTTCCGGTTCCCCATGTAGTGTTAATGCTTTAATGTTTGATTGAGTTTCACAGAAACAGAAATAATGATTAACACAGTGCATTTGAATGTACTGAACTCAAACTCCATTCATAACACTTAATGTCTTTCTCATTGAACCATGAGATTAACTACAGCCATTATGAACAATTTCATTGTAGTTTTATCAATACTTAAAAACATATGAAGAAATGAAAACTCATTTTTGGATTAATTCCAAGAAGTACAAGATTGTTCATGTAAATGCTGTTTTGAATTTTGAAAGACATGGGTTATAATTTAAATGCATACCGATCACATGGTCTGAAATACACTGGTCAAGCACAATAACTTCACCAACCGACAGTCACCCAACATGTCACTGAGGCTGTACGGTTAAAGCAAACAACTGTGAACTAGAAACACATTCCCAGGCATGCATGTGTGAGCGGATGTGTGTGTGTGTGTGTGTGTGTGTGTGTGTGTGTGTGTGTGTGTGTGTGTGTGTGTGTGTGTGTGTGTGTGTGTGTGTGTGTGTGTGTGTGTGTGTGTGTGTGTGTGTGTGTGAGTTTTTGTTGTTGGTCTAGTCTGTCGCAGCTTTGTCAAACATTGCCAAGGAGTCAATTAGTTCACATTTACAATATTACATTTTAGCTCATCCTTACTGTTACTACAGAGGTCAACAGAAGAAAATAATAATGTAAAAGTGTAACATAGTTTTAGGGAAAGGGATGGAAATGTAACAACCCTAAAATCTAACCTGGCTGTAGACTTGTAGACTACACTGGGTGGTTTCAGTCTGTGTTTTTGCTGCTCCTTATTTTTATCTTAATGCTACTGCTCTATGTGCCTTTGAATTGTCCCCCTTGAAAAACTGAAGGTTTTTTGATTTGAATGTGAATTTTCAATAAAATCTTTGGAAGAATGAATGTAATTAAAGTAATGTTAATCACTCCCATCAGATTGACTTACATCCCCTTTGTGACTATTGTGCAAATTAGTCTCATGCCCAAAAATGCCTGATTAACCCTCTACAGCTTCTCTATCTGGGGCATAACATGATTTTGTGTACTGTATGATTACACCAGGTATTTCTATTTAGTTCATCTAATTTTCTCTTTCCAACTCTCTCCTTCAGGACAGCCGTAGAAAGTCTGCCTTCTCCAGAATATGCCTTGTCTCCATGGTAACAGGCAGACCCAGAAAAGCACTGGGCCAAACTCTTCAACGCTTGTCCAACTAACCTGATCCTGGACTGTACTGAAGAGGAGATAAACCAAAATTCAAACGACTAATGTTTCTTACAAAAAATGTGACTCCTTGTGGTCATTTTGCCAATTCTGCACTTTCAAAGGACCTAAAGCCTTAAATAGTGCCTGTGTTTTAAGATGATTTAATTTGAGAAATTTTAATTTCCAATCTTCTACTTACAATGCAGAGGACACTGAATATTCTATAAATGGTCCTATAAAACCAAGAGCAACACTTTTTTTTTAAGTTTTTTTTTTTATGGATCATTATGCAAGGGATATTCTCAATTAAGGGATCTTAAACTGGGCAGCACCAGTCGTAGCTGGTCCGAAAGGAGTCCTAAACCAGGACAAGGATGCACCAACTGTTCAGCCGGGTGCTGGGTCAGAGGGATCTGTCTCGAGCAGGCGATCTATTTTCTCTGGAGGACACAGAGATCAAAGACTGTCTGTCCCAGGCTCTGGACCAGATCAAGGCCATCTCCTGTTCACAGGTTAGTAGACATGTTTAGATTAGAGGCAGGACCAGCAAATATATTCTGTTATTCAAATGTTAGAGGGCAACTGTCAGTTTAATGAATTATTCATCTTATCCATAATTAATCTTTTTGTCCTTGATTTGTCATTGTATACATAATGTTGCATTATCTTACTGTCTGCTGGCTGACAGGACTATTTGACCAATGACAATGACCAGGCAGTGGTGGAGATCTGCATAACACGGATCACCACAGCCATAAGGGAGACGGGCTCTATTGAGGAACACAGCAGGGCGCTGGTGGGGCTTTGGGAGTCGTGCCTGGAACATAACCTCACCCCACAAGGTGAAAACACAGAGGACACACCCCATGCCAAGATAGCCTCGGACATCACCAGCTGTATCCTGCAGGTATGAACATTCTCACCCACTCTCTAGACAATGTTTTTTTTTTTTTTTTTAAGTTTTATTAAACTGATAGTTAATTTTGTTTTTTTCTGAAGCACAAACTATACAGTACTTACCGTTACATGTACCTTTGGACACTTTTCTTTGTACTCACATAGTGTAATGTGTCCACACAGTGGCACAAGTGTGGCACAAGTTTTATTTCACAGATGATGAGTTCATTTGAATATCTAGTATACAGAAATGCAGAAATTAACTCTACTGAAAATATGTCTAAACTGATAGTGTTTAGAGTATTTCTCAACAGTTGTATTCCTTTAATTTAAGCAATGACTGCAGACCAATGTGTACAACTGTGCAGGAGGAAGAGAAGTGGAAAGTGAGGCATAAATCTTAACACCCATCGTGAAACATATCCAAACGTGGATTTATGCTATTAAGATCAAATATAGTTATATAATCAGAACTGGGGTCTTTTAAATGTAAATTTAAATCTTGCCTACGTTTCCCATTAGACCTCCAGTGCGCAAAGGCTTAAAATTAGAGAGACGCTCCCTCTTTTCCTCTCCTTTACTTTTTTTCACCCTTTTCCATTTCCTCTGGGAATAGGAATGTGCTTAATACCAGTGTAATGAGACTGATTCTCATGAAAGGCACGCACACACACGTTGAGGTGAGACTAAAAGTTCTGACAGCTCCTGACGGCGGCTCCCAGCTCTGATGTCCTGACTCCAGCAGCACTTCTCTCTCTTCACTCCGTTGCTGTTTCCTTCTTTGATCTGTTTCTCTCCTGATATCTTTCTACCTATTTACCCTGCCTCAATATGTTCTGTCTTACCTTGTCTTACCCTCAGACTATCTTTATCTCTCCTCTGATCTCTCCCGTCCTATTTGTCGTCTTGCTGTTTGGAATCCACAGATGCACAGACACTCTTCCTGGCCTTCCACTGAAACTCCCACAGACAGTACAGAAGTGAGCAACAGACTGAAGGGAGCATTATTTTTATTTGCACAACACACACTCATGTATGTGCACACAGATTTCTGATTTATGACAGCATCTTGACTGTTTTGCGATGGGCTGTTTCATCGGTGCAGTGCTGACATTATAGAGCCTCCCCTCATCAGATTAAATTATACATAAATCTGTGCATACACACGAGGAACCTGGGAGGGCACCCCTGGGAAAACAGTTGTTATTCAAATTAGGGCCTGTGATTGTATCCAAATAGTTTGATGGATCATCCTGATTAGGAAATAATCCAGTTTTTGTGAATTCGTTGTCTGCACTGCCACCATGTGGTTGGAAGTAGGTGGGACAGATAAAGAGAGAGAAGGACTGTACAGCATTCTAAAACTCTTAACAATACATATTGGATTCAGGGTATAATGGAATAGAATCAGAGAAGGAAGGCTGAGATTAATATAGGGTGCTCAGGAGGGATGGGTGCTAAAAACTGGTACTTTTTGTCAGTGTGTGACTGGGTAGGTGTGACCTGCTTTGTAAAAAGCGCTTTGAGCTATGCAAGCTCAACTCCATTTACCATTTGAAACATAAGCATAAAAATAAATGCGTTATTAGGCAGAAATTTCATGTTGGCTTTTATGCGAGGTTTGTGAATTAGGTCAAATTCTCTGGCAAGTATTTAATTCAGATGTTAAAGCAGTTAACTGAATTCTCTCTTGAGATTCATGTTTTACATTTAGACGTCTTTCATGTCATGTCTATTTTTTGTACCAAATAATGAAGATTAGTAGTCATGAGATTATTAATAGACTTTATCAGTAAGCAGTATCCATATCAATACCGGCATTGATAAAATCCTTACGAAATACCCATCTCTAGTGCTCAGTGGATTGTATTGTCATATGGATGCAGTAAATATACACCATGAAACAAATATAAAGGAGAATTCTCACTCTTACAGCAAATATAATTCACAGCAAGACAAGTTTTAAGAGTGAAATCCTCTTCTTTCTCCCTTTTCCAAAAAGACATCTGTAGCTAAAAATAAGCAAAGAAACAAAGGGACAATCTCTTTCCATGTTTTTGAGATGAACAGTACCAACAGAACCTGGGGCGCTGGATCAGTATTAACCACTTCCCCTCCATTTGTCCCACACACACAAATATACAGTATGTGCAGGTTCAAACAGACTTGCTCTCAGTGTGTCCTGTTGAGGGTGCTAAAGCCTTTCAAATCCCTTTCTCCTCAATCTTCTTTCTGTAAAATGTTCACAGGGACAAATGTCTGCAGGTCTTTATCGACATAGAGCAGTTCCTCCCCTCTACAGTTGAATCACAAAGCAATGTGAGCATTTCAGTCTGTCCTAAAGCCGATCTTAGAATTTCTCTCTGCTGGAGGAAAATAATCTCAAACTCAGCCCTCCAGTGTATCCCAAGATCAAACACCTTTCGAGCTGAGCTGTAGATAATAAACATAAAGACTATTTTTATGAGCGCAGGGAGTTGATTTTTTTATTGTCATTATACAAGCTCAGGATAAGGGAGAGCTAGATCTTCATCAAACGGATCCCTGCTGATTATATTTGTTGATTTGTTTATATTTTTGAGGGTGTTATCTAATCATGATTTTAGATAAGGGTTGACTAAATGTTAAATCAGATAACCCAGTTACCGATATAAAGATGCTGAAGATAAATACATGCACATGTTTATATGACTTAGCTTCTCCCTTACAATACAGACAAAATCTTACTGTGAATATGAAAAGGTGTTTTGCAGTGTTATCAATTAAAGCCAATGTGTTTTCCTCCTTTCCCTGAATGCGTCGCCACTGCTGTCTCCTCAAACCTCCTTTATCTTTTGTCCCATCAGAACTACAGCTGCCCATCAGTTATGGTGCTGGCGGTGCCTGTAGCGGTGCGATTCCTGCAGAGAGGGAACAAGGAGCTGAGCAGGAACATGTCCAGTTATCTCTCTCTGGCTGCTATAGCGAAGGCTGATCTGCTGGCTGAGCACACAGAGGCCATAACACACAGCGTACTGGGAGGTATGACACACATACATGTATTCATACACAAAAATTAAGTAATACCGCATATGGTATGCACATAATAACATGCATGCACACAAATGTGTCTGAGTGAGCATATTTTTGCTGGATTTTGCTGTTAACAACGGCACTATGATGAGTAAAGTGTGCTTCTGCATCGTTGAAACTTTTTAATTAAACTTTTGCGAACTCTTTAACTACCAAAGTTCAATTTAAAGGCTGAATGTGCGACATTTTACGCATAAATATAGCAGAAATCGAGTATATCCTGTAACATACTGTACTCACTGCTTATTAGCGTTTTTAGATCAAGGTCATTTCATGTAAGTTTACATGCAAACTGAAGAGCATGCTAACACAACAATGCAGCTCGAGTTGTTTTGGATTGACGCTGGTGCTCAAGGGCGACATCTACAGGATCAAAGAGTGGCATATTCTTCCTTTTAAGGAGTCTTGTTTATTCTAGGAAAATTTTGAGCCCTTTAAATCCACAACTCTGCAGGACAATTAATCTCTTTTCTCCTTTGTTTCGGCTGTCCCACTTACTGTACTGTAGATACAGATCTTCTTACACACCTGGGGAAATGTGTGTGTGTGTGTGTGTGTGTGTGTGTGTGTGGGGGGGGGCATGAGGCCTTTATAGAGACAGACACTCACATTGGGAGCTTTACAGAAAAGCTCCACTTAAAATATGAATATAAAGGATTTTGAAACAAGGTCATAATACGTTATTGTATTTATTCTGGTTTACTTGTGGGTTTTGCTTGCAGAGATCAATTTCGCTTGCTCCTACTGGGAGGACTGTTAGCAGACCTGAGACAAGAGGATGAGCTGGTTTTCTTGACAGGAAGAATGGATTGCTGTTGATATCAACAAATCAAAGTCTATTCTTATAATAAGCCATAGCAAATAATGTTGCCATGGTTGGCATTGGCAAGGGATAGAAATGATGGGGAATTATAGGGGTTGCAAACCGTCATTACCCTGATGGCGCTCTAATGAGGCATGAAGGTTAATTTGGAAGAGAGAAAATAGCTTTTACTTTACCATTCATTTATTCAGCCCTACAAGGAATTATCTGTTAATTGTTTCAGAAGGAACTCGGACTATGAATCTAGCTACAATGTCTGAGGAAGTATCCTCTATATCCTCTAAAAGTAAAACTAATGTGCTCTGGAAATCCTTCAGGAGTGGAAGGTGAATTTGTCTTCTTGCTTTAATCTGATCAGTACTTTCAACAACTTCCTGTCTTTACTGTTCAGGCTGGCGAGGGGAATAAAGCTGACCTGTGGTCTGTGGTTCAAGACAGCTTTTCCCTGAAACATTTATGTACCCTTTTAACCCTTATATATCTACACCTTTTAACTCATTAGTGCAGTGCAGGTGTCTAAAGAGTCATAGTCAGCACTGACTGCCTGAGTGAGATCTCTCTCTCTCTCTTTCTCTCTCTCTCTCTCTCTCTCTCTCACACGCGCTCTCTCTGTCTTTCTCTCTATCTTTATCAATCCCACACTCACTCTCAAATTCAATTTCAAAAGGGGCTCTATGACATGGGAAACATACACTTGTACATCGCATCGAAAGAGTGAAATGAAAACACAAAATTTAGTTCTATAAGCTCTCTATCACACACACACTCATTTTAACTTGTTACAAAGGGTTCTCTATTAAATAGATTTAAAAATAGTGATCACTTTCATTTTTACCAATAGATAGTACTTTAACAGATTGTGTAAACATGCGTTTGCACGTGTAGGTGTGTTTCCTTCATTGTAACTCATGCAATACCAACTTGCTAAGCTATCATTTCACTAATACACAAACACACTTACTGGTACCACGTGGTACTAATATCCTCCTGTAGCACCAAGTGAGATATCCACCACAGTGCTGCTCCCACAGAGCACTTTCTCTGCTCAGCACATGAATCAGCTTAGCTCTGTCTGGACACTTTAGAATGGAAGTTCTAGGGCTAGAAACTCAAACTTTGTATTTTGGTATTAGCTCCTTTTTGTTTTATCAAGCACCCGTTAACACAAACGAAGGTTTTAGTCAGAAGTGCATTCAGAGGTGAGCCCCCTCATTTCTGCCAAATGTCGACTCCAAAGACAGAAACACCTTGACTTCCACCACACTTACTTACACAAATAGCTGTCTTTTAGGATATTTCTATACTTAAGGAACAGTATTCATTTTCAGAAAAATATCATTTTGTATAAGCCAATTCTAACTGTACTTTGAACTTTAAATTCAGCAAAAGTAAAGATACAGAACTTTACCTAAGGTAATGCCTGAAATAAGTAATTCTAACAGCTTTTAAACCTTTATTAACAAATTACACATTACACTGACGATTAATTTTTGTTTTCCTAAACACCAAGACCTTATCCTTTTTCCCCACGTTTAGATTTGTTGGCTCTAAGAAGAGGTTAAGAGATGCTGTTCTTTTCTCAACTGTGCTCCCCTTTTGATTCAAAACTTTCAGCCTAAAAAGAAAAAAAACATTTATTTAATGACAGCCCGAAAGTAAAAAATATTAAGACAATTTGGGACCCTGTTTTTTTCTAGTATAGAATAAGATCCAGTGATGTAAAATTAAGTGTGAAAGAGGGAGAAAGTGAAGGAAAAGATTGGAAAGATAGAATGTTATATGCAAATAACACTCAAGTTTCCAGTGGCTGCAATTCAGTTTGAAGGAGGCTGATGAACTGATAGTGAGCCTTATTAAATATTAAATATAACACACACACGCACACGCACACGCACACGCACACACACACACACAAAGGGAAATATTGTGAGAGTGGAAAGAGGATGAAAGTGAGGGCTTTATTAAAACGACTTAAGATGCATGTTTCCTCGAGCAGTTTTTTAAATTCAGTCTTGGCAGTTACCTCAACATAAACACATGACTTACACACGTGAGCATGCTTATAGTGCACACACACACACACACACACACACACACACACACACACACACACACACACACACACACACACACACACACACGTAGCTTGCAACAGCAGATGATCCCTATTTTTCCCATCAGCCCTCTGTTCAGGAAGTGAGCTGATGTAATGGGGTTTAGGAGATGTTGACAGTGGGAGTGTGATGTGTTTTTTACACAAGCTAGCAGAATGGATGGGTTTTGCATGTATGCATGCGTGTGTTTATACTTTGTTTAAGTTTGTACCTTGAGGTTGTTCTATGCTTTCTGTAGAAGAAAATGTGAGGCCATTTGAATCTTGTTGCTTTTTTAAATCGTATATCTGTTGGTTCAACTTGTAAAAAGCTAGGTTGTGTGCATATGTGTGTGCGTGCGTGCGTGCGTGCGTGCGTGTGTGTGTGTTCACTAGGTACAGGAAGCCAGCAGCAGGACCCAGACAGAAGGTTTTATAGCCAGCTACAGTTAGAAACAACAGGACTTAGACATTATCAGATATCACCCACATCCACACAAAAACACACTCACATCACATATCTGCACACACAAACATATGGCACCGCTTTGGCCCTATAGAGATTTAAGAGCCAAGAGTTCCTCCTTCTCTAAGTAAAACCTGATCCTAAGTTAGCACTGAAGTTAGGAATGTGTCACCTGTCAAAGTTTTATGTCTTTCCAAGCTCCCCTGCTACGAAACACAAGTACTTTCTGTACGCTGTCTTCTTTTGTTAAGAGTGAGAGAGGTTTTGAGCAGGTGGGTTACTTGAGAGTGAGTGTGAAAGGTGGCGTTTCCATTTCGCAACAGGTCCTGGTGGTAACTGTTGGAGACTGTGCAGTGGTTGTAACTGCAGGAGAGATCTGTTTTATGTCACTAATGGGCCTCTAGCAGGATGTGTAAACTGAAAGCATGTGTTAGCAGCAGCAACCTGAAAAGTGTTTGTCTAAATTTTTCAAATATATGTAAAGATAGCATGTTGACCAACATTAAGCAGCATACACATGAGGTCAAATGTTATGTCTATAGTAGGACCATTTCCTGAACTCACTGTCAAGTCCCTGTAAAAAAAACAATCATTAGAGGTTTCCAATAACTGCCAGGATTACAAAACTCAGCTCTGATAAGTCAAATTAAATTATTGCAATAATTGAAGCACTTTATTCGAGTGAATAATGTATCTAACCCTTGGAGAAGGGGGCAGAAGAAGAAAAAATAAATACTGCATCCAACAAGTATGTTCTATAACTTGAAATGTTTATTCACCACCTCACGCTCCATTCATCCAGTCTTGTTAAGCAAAATATATTTATTTACAAAATACATTCAGTTTCACCTTTCACAAGAATAAAAATAAAGGAATTTACAGTATAATACAAGACAACTCCATCAAAGATAAGAATATGTAAACATTGTCCTCAGTTTCTTTATAAAAAAAAAAAATGCATATCTCATGTTACAAATACTGTTTTACTCATATTACTCTAAGCAGTATCAAAAAAGGCGACACATTATTACCCTAAAATACAAGACCTACTGACAAGAGCTAACAAAACAGAAATCATACGAATACAAAAGAATGTAAACACTTTCATAAGTACAAGTTTGGAAATATAAGGTCCTTAACTGCTTTTATTAAAAAGCTTTCACAAATTCAAGGGAATTAATATATTAAAAGAATAAAAAAAAAATCACCCAGTCAGGAGCTATTCAGGAAGTTGAATGTTGACCATGCTTGAAAGGAGAGTCATTAGGAGTCAAAGTAAACCCCTAATTTAGATAACAATGGTTAAGTCCCTTGAAACTGGATTCAATCATCAGTGCTTGATTACCAGTCTTCTTGATTGATATATTTTTAACGTCATGGTAACTTGTGTTGAACAGGCTTTGCATTTATTAGGGATGAACCACAGAAAGAGTAGAAATGCCAGACAATCCATTTTATCAGTCTGAGATCTCTCGCTTTCTTCCCCCTGCACGAGCGTCTGCGGAGATCACTGCTCAGAGTCGTTCACTTTGACGATAAACTATTCGTCTTTCTTGCAGTCTTATCAAATCTTTGGTAAATGCTGCATGCAGCACTTTTTCTGCTACTATACAAATTTTATTATCTTGAAGGCAAGTCAGTGTGTGAATGTCTACGTGTGAGTGTGTGTGTGTGTGTGTGTGTGTGTGTGTGTGTGTGTGTGTGTGTGTGTGTGTGTGTGTGTGTGTGTGTGTGTGTGTGTGTGTGTGTGTGTGCGTGTGTGTGTGTGTGAGTGGATCTCTGTGTATTGTAAGGCCTCAGTTCAAATGGTTAGGCTACAGGAATCTCTCTCAGCATTGGCTTTCTCACATGAGTATGTCCTGTTAAAGTCCTTGCAGTATTAGTGTTTATGTGTAAATTGAAGATCAAGATGCATAAGAATATAACTGTCTTGAAAATAACATGGTTATTGGATGGATATTGGATATTTAACTATGGATATTTAGGACAGGGTGATGACGTAAGCAGTTTTTCAGTTTTAGCGTGAAAGCTTGTTGGGATGTTGCTGCTATGACGATGATGACTCTGTTGATGCTGATGACAGCATCTACCATGAAAAGTGAACGAATATGTTAGTTGATGAACTGAGCGCCTCCATGGGGCACCATCTCCGTCACTCCCCACGCTACCACATTCCCTCTCTGCTCACAGCCCTGGCCCCCCCTGGTAGCCAGCTGGGGAATCTCCTCCTCTGACAGGACCCTGTCCCACATGTTCACTCCTGTCATTTTCCCTGCGAGCGCCAGCTTATGATCGAATCCTGCCTCAAACCCTGGCATCCCGATGTTTTGAGCCATTGGGCAGCAGCCGTTCTTTTCCTGACCCAGCTGCATCGAGCCACCGTCGGGTAAGACATGACCCTCAGCCACTCCGGGGACCGATGCCACCTTTTTCCCATCTACCCACAGGGATGCCAGACCCTGCTTCGACGACCAAGCCCCGCACAAATGGATCCATTCCGATGCACTTCCTGTGTTGACAACGCCCCGTGCTTCAACCAGGTGAGCCTCTCCTCCTATGGTGAAGAGCGCTGACGTTTGAGCTAGCAGTAGCTGAATCTCATATGGGTTGCGGCGGTTTCCGTAAGAAAAGAGTACAGTTTTGTTGGAGACAGTGGTTGGCTTCACCCACATGCAGACTGTGAAGGCGGAGACGGAGAGAGGGACCTCGGGAAAAACTGAGGTGTAGATTCGACGAGAACGCATGGGGAAGAGGAGAGCCATCTCACAACCTAAAAAACAAGAAGATTGTATTCAGCGTTAACTTCAAGTTACTATTATTTATAATTGTGGTCGATAAATAAACATGGGTAGATGAAGTTTTAAACAGCAACACATTTGTTTGTGCGAAAACTGTTATTTTGTGAGTAACATTGATCTATTATAGAGGAGCATGATTACGTCATTAGGAGTCAAAGTAAACCCCTAATTTAGATAACAATGGTTAAGTCCCTTGAAACTGGATTCAAGCGTCAGTGCTTGATTACCAGTCTTCTTGATTGACTTTGTGTAAAGTCTTGTAGAAAAGCGAAATGCTAAAGGTTCCTACGTGTTTTGTAATATTAGTGATTTGCTTTGCAGGAAAAAAAAGTATAATTCTTAAGTTTGAGCCTGCCAATATTTGATGTCGTCAAAAGTGTAATTTTAATTTAGGTATAGCATGAGATAAATTTATAAATGGAGAAAATAACTAGACCTGAAATTTAGCTTTGTTGTACTCAACACACAATTAATGTCAATAACATGACTGAGTTTTGAATACAGATTGCTTCATTTCTAACACTGGCAAACACATTTAAAGATATAGTTATCTTAAATTGCAAGAATTTGTCCAGTGTTGTCTATAGCTGAAGTTTCACTGATACCAGTGGAGATTGGACCTACGTCAACAAAGTACATTGATGCTTGTCATTGGTTGAAAATATGGATGAAGGGCGATCAGGTGGCAATATTAGTAACGGATATTTAGTTTAAATAAAAACAGTCACGGTTCAGTGGTCGGTCAGGTGATGAGATCATGAATCTCAGCAAAGTTTTTTCCTGCCCCACCAAAGCACTCACACAACATCCTGTCCCAGGTTCACTGTTTTTTCTGCTTCGTTTGATAATTTCCCCCCTTCTTCTTTTCCCCCCTTTTCATCATTCAGGCATCCTCTCAAACACTCCCTTTCGATTCCCCCTGCATTGAGATCACTTTTTCTGTTGGTATATCTTTTCATTTTGGGTTGTTAAGTGTAACCCTTTCATAAACAGTAGGCCTCCATTTAATATTGCACTGTACACATATCTTATTGCAAGTGGGCTTTGCTGGAGGTTTTATAGACAGGACTGCTTATGTTTGTGTGTGGAGACATCTAATTTAAGATGAGCAAAGCTCTCTGTTATTATCCAGAACTCGTCCTTTTTTTTCTCTTTTGGACTAAGTCACACACCCCCGCCCCCCTCCTCTAGTTAGCAGACACACTTTATCTCTGCTAAAATCAAAAATCCCAAATATTGATGTAACATTAGTGTCAGGTTTCTGCAACTGAAAAAAAACAATGGTGAACAGAAATGTTTGAAACCTGCTGAGTGTGTTTGTTCATGTTGGTTTCCATCTGGTTCTGCTTTCCCAGGGTGCTTTGGTGTAGTGTTTGTGGCAACCTGCTTATGATTAAACCTTCCTGTGCTCAGTATGTAGGCCACTTTATATTGCTTGACTGAATTGGTGTGTGTGTGTGTGTGTGTGTGTGTGTGTGTGTGTGTGTGTGTGTGTGTGTGTGTGTGTGCATTAGATGAGTAATGTAACCTACCACTTTTATTTGGTTAATTCCAGGAAATTAATTTGTCTTCCTGACACATGTGGTTCCTTTCATGGATTAAGCTTTGTTGTCTTTTTATTCACTCTTAGTCACTTACTCTCTAAAGTTACATTGAAATTAGTCACTGTTTAGTTTGAGGATGGAGGGTAAACCACATTAGTAGCTTTGTTAACTAACACCACATGCTGTAACTGAGAATAGTTTGTGCTCGCAGGCAGTCTCTGAACAGAAGTCATCTTACCCTTTACTGTATTCTTTGGGCTCTCCTATTATCTTTAAACATTTAAGACAGCATCTGTGCATGATAAGTGCTGAAGGCAAAGAGTTAGATCAATGGATGAAGTCCCACTGTGCCTTAGATGAGATTTTGACCTAGATTTCACTCACAAAATGTGTTTGTAATAAATGTTTGACAAACAAGAATAATATGATAAAGATGGACATTATAGGGCTGGCCTAAAACCTGCTTACTTGTCCATCTTCTTAATGTTTGACTTGACTGTCACGACTGAGACTAATGTTACTAGGCGAAGGAAAAAGGATATGTTGCCACTTGAAGAGACCTACATGCCTGGAGTAAGTGAAAAAGGTATTTAGAATGAACACAAGCGGCATGATTAGTTGTTCTGAAGCAAGGCCTGACAGAGGGGGGGGTCTCATTCTTTTACTTGAAGCGTGACCTGAATGTGTCAAGGCAAATACAAATTGAAAATGGGAGGTTGTTTGGGCGGAACTGTTGAGAAAGGTGAAGACAAATACAGAGAAACAGAAATCAACAGGTAAAGGCAGACACAGAGACTGCTGATGGTAAGATGGATTTCTTACCTCCGGGAAGGTATCTTTGCCTTGATGACCTCAGCAACTCCTCCTGTTCCACTCTGGTCTGTTGCAGCGCAGCGAGCACAGTGTCTAAAGTCACACCTCGTGATGTTACCTCTTGCTCTCGAAGCCCAGCTGTTCCCTCAGTAAAAGGAGATCCTGTCTTTGAATTCATCCCCGTCCCGGCTCCTGGGCTGCTGAAGCAGCTGATCTCCAACTTGGCGAGTCGTGAAGCTTGGCTGCGTGCTGCAGAGAGGAGCTGCTGTAGCATCACCTCAAGGTGGTCGGAATTCCCAACAGAATTTCCTGCAGAGGCAGAAATCTGGTCTTTGATTTTGAAGCGATCCACGGTTTCTCTAAGGCGGCCCTCCAGCTGCAAGGCCATCCTTCTTCCTGCTGACTCCACGGCAACTCCGCATGAGCCACCATACTGTGCTACAAACCTGACCAAAGAACCAACAGAAGAGTTCATTTAGATCTTCAGAAACAATGAACCACAGTTTATAGGCTCCTAAATCCATGTTACCAGTAACGTAAACACAAACTGGATTGAATCAGGGAATTGATCGTACATTAAACTGAAAAATTTGTTGAGTTACTAAGGGTGATGAACAGAAACAAATTGGCAGCAATTTGATTATCAATTGATAATTTAAATAGTTTAATAGGGAAAATGTCTTTGAAAATCTGAACTGATCCTTTTACAAAAAACGTTCACCCTATGAAAGCATAATTACTCAGATTACCCTTTGTCCAACCAACCTGAGCATTTCCCCACGCAGCGACCCCATCTCCACCTTGATGATGTCATCGGCATACTGAAGCATCATATTCTCCCTCATCTGACTGTTCTCCAGCATTGAGAAGAGTTTGTCCCATTTGGTCAGGTCTGGAGAACTGCAGGGAGTCGAGCTTGGTGTAGCTGGAGAAATAGATGTCAGAAAGGAGAAAAGATGGAAAAGTTATGCTTTCTAACTGAATGTATAAATGTAAAGGATGGAGGAGAGTTCTTCAAATTCTGACACTGTGGGCTGCCTTCACACCAAATTGAGCCAAGTCAATTTTGAGTTGACACAAATGCATGCATGACTAATTTTCTATTCTTCTGTGAAAAATGGATTGTGCAACATGGTTAATATATTTTTGGTTTGCTTCCAGTCTTAGAAGTTGGATGTGGATCAGAGCTGGTCGTTTGTGAACTGGAAGGTCAAGGGATCAAAGTCCTGGTTCCTGCAGTGTTCCTGGCCAAGATACTGAACCCCAATTTGCTCCCCCTGTTGCATCATTGGCTTGTGAATGTGTATGAATGATGGACACTTTACTTAGCAGCCTCTGCCATTAGTGTATGATTGTGGTGTGAATGGGTGAATTTGACGGTGTAAAAAGCGCTTTGAGTAGTTAGAAGACTAGAAAAGTGCAATCTCAATTCCATTTACCATTTACTTAGATTTGGGTAATAGTCACTCCCTTTGGATTTTATATGTGTGGGAGATAAAAAACATTAATTTGTAAGTTGCAATTAGCTACATCTGTTTAACAACTTTAAATCCTGTTGTACCTTAATTTACACGAGGGCATGACTAACATTATTTTGAATTATTAGTGTCCTGGTCATGCCTGTTTTCAATTCACCCAGATGTATGAACAATAATCACTCAATGACTTCGATAGGATAACATAAGCCTGTATCCATCCCACAACAGATACATTTACAGATAATATAGACTATATAAACTAAATCACAATTAGATTTTTCTCATTTCAAGTTCTGAATTTACAAGGAGACTCTTCATTGATCTAATTTCGTAGTAAATTTGCAGACTTAGTCCTTGACAATTTATCATCCATTTGTGTATCACATGTTCAGATTTGACTCTGAGAAAGAGTATAAATCATGTTATCATCTTATTCTGATCTGCAGACCTGAAAAAGTGAATTACTCCTTCAGTGTAGTCATTTACCAGATGCTAGAGCAGATGTGGCTTCAGAGAAGGAAAGCAGGAAGTAAAGCTGAGATGGACATGCTATGATCTCTTTAAGTTTGAAAGAAACCTAAAGGCCATTGTTGTAAAGAGAAAAACAGAAAGAGAAAAACATGTTCAAGTGTGCTCGAATAAAACCTTTGAGATACCTGAGGAAGAGGAAGCATGCATTAAGGAGAAAGAAAGAAGGAAGAGGAAAATGTATTTCATACTAAAAGAAAGAAAAGGAGAAGACATGCAGTGAGCAGGAGAGACACATAAATACAGTGAAACATAAAGAATAAGGTAAAACAGTCCAGGAGGGAAAATATGTGTCAGACACACTATTTTGATTAGAGGCTGAGCCTCTCAAACTCTCATTATACTATGATTACTTCTTCTAGAGAGGAATTATCACAGCACTGCAGGATTTGTTTTGGCTGTCTCCCCCCAAAGACAATTAGGCAGAAGGTTCACGCACTCTGCTCCCTCTGATTAACCAGACTTAAGCACATGTCTGCCACAGGTATTTTGATGGATGTGGCAGTGAGTATGGTGTTAAACGGCCTTTCACAACATCAGCTTGGATTCTTGACCCTCTGTGGGAGTTACCTACTGGTTTCTAGGGCTTGTTACAGCATTTCTGCCACTGCACTTACCTGCAGCTTGTTTAGCTTTACTCTATAAGTTTACTTTAGCTATATTTGTTAAAAGCTGTTAAAAGCTGAAAAATTACTTCTGTCAATAATAATAATACCATTTATGCTGTGGCTTTTATGTCATAATGGTTTATTTAGGAGGAATTATTTCTTTAAGTTTATGTTTGTCTGTACACATACAATAATTCTAAACAACTAATGGAAAATGGAAAGCACATCTATCTGGGTTTACTGTAGCTTTAAGACATTCTGCATCTTCCCCCAGGCTTTGACGTCACGCTTCCCCCTTTCACCTTCTTTGCACACCTGCATACTCACAAGTGAGTTTATGACTTACTAAATAGTCAGGCAAGTGTATTAGGAGCTCTGTAAATGTACCTTCTCCTACGTTTTCTTTTCCCACTTTGGAAAGCAGAAGCAATCTTTTCCCCTTTACTGCTGTAATCCATGTGCTGGTATTTACTATTCCTAATTATTTGTTGAGGCCACTCTTAATTTTTGCCTTACGTCAGTTTTAATCACATTGCTTACTGAGCCCGGAGAAAACCCGTTGTTGCTGCAATTATCCCTCCTGCCAGCATTGAAACAACAAACAAATGCAAAAGGCCACCACATGTTCCCACTTTCTCTTTTATGTAAAAAGCGATACTTTCCAAATCAGCTGACAGAGACTATGTGCGGTAGTGTTATGCAGTGATCGGTGGCCAGTCATTCATGCTGTAATATGTGTTGATACTGGTCGGCGGATGAAAGAGCTCTATAATTTTCTGGCTCAGCATATTCTTTGATCTGCTCGTCTTCTGCACGAACTCTGTGTCTGCCAACAGTCTGTATACTGTATACACTGTGCTACTTGTTAACTCGTCTCTGTTTCTGTTTTTTTTTTTTAATAGGGACATTCCCACTCATTAAATGTAAAGTCCTCAGTTAAAAAAAAAACAATCAAATTCAATCTAACATGGAGAGTAATGGTCTGATATAGCTATGACTGTCAAAAGAACACCAGCAACAAAAAGCAGCAAGATCACACAAACTAATCACATCAACCAAAGAACACAAGAGGGACCGGACCAAAAGTGTTCTAATTTTTTGTCCTATGTCATTTCACAGCAGTAATATACTTCTTATTGACTGAACTTTTCAGGACACTGAATCAAATGTCCTAAGCTCACCTCTATTGCAACCCCAGGCCATGATTCTACAAGAAATCAATTTCACGCCCAAGAATTAAATTAAATCTGAGAATCTTAATCAGATAAATAATTTGTTCCAGCAGTCACACACACACACACACACACACACACACACACACATACACAATTTAAAACTTACGTTCTGGCGTCTGCCCCTCTGTGATTTCATTGTAGAAGGGGTCAGCGTAATTGACCTCAATATCATCCTCGTACGCCAGCAGCAGACATACACATGCCGACAGCACGCACACTGCCTGGGGGAGCCTCCAGCGAAACATGCTGCTGAGTGTGTGAGAGAGTGTGAGGACAGATGAGTGTGTCTGGTAGGCTTCAGGTCGGCTCTTTATCTACCTGCTCTTCTGTGTGTCTGTGTGTATATTAAAGTGAAGGTAACAGTAAGTCTAGCTGTGTGTGTGTTTGGTCTGTCTCTGCGGCTTCTTTCTGTCTATCGTTCTACAGGGCTGCAGGTCCTCCACTCTCTTTTTCAAGCCCTCACTCCCCCATACAGTATTGTCCCTCCTCCCTAATCACTACCCACCCCTCTCTCTCTTTTTCTCTCTCTCTCCTTCTCTATCTCCCTCTCGCTCTCTTTCAACCAGAGAGAGGGGCTGCTTAGCACCCCCCACACACACACACACACACACACACACACACACACACACACACACACACACACACACACACACACACACACACACACACACGATTGAATTCCCATACAGAACTTTCCCTGGATTTACTGTATTCATCCATAAACCTGCAGATCTCATATCTGATAGATATGGTTGATTGCTTCTCTAATTTCATACTGATAGGTTTGTACATTATTTCTAAAGTTTGGATATCCATCAATCAATCAATCAATAAATCAATCTTTATTTGTATAGCGTCAACTTATAACAAGTGTTATCTTGAGACACTTTACAAAAAGCAGGTAAAAGACCTTACTCTTTGTTATTTAAATCTCACCTTTCTAAATGCAGAGTTGTGGGAGCACAGTGACAGTGAAGTTGGACAGAACCAGAAACACAAATCAGACTTACAGTGAACAATCTACACGTGTAGGAAGAAACACAACCCAAATGTTAAGTAACACAATGTTGGTAAGTCACAAGTTTAGTCAGGCTATCGGTGAACTGTAATATGTTCACAGTGGGTCTAATGATTATATCATTGTACGTTTTTTTTTTCCTATTCCAAATAAGACTGATAACGTGACAGCTTGCAACACTCGCTCTGTCTTGACTTATTTCCAGTGCCAGTGTGTTGTCCCCTTAAGCCCATTTAACCAACTATAAAAGATAAAGGGTGTAATTTGCAATCGAAGAAATTCAGCTTGTGTTAATTTGGTTAAATGTATCAATCAAAACCCCAAAGCTGGTGCATTAGGATGTGAGACATTGCTTTTTTAAAGTGGCTCAATGTTCATATTAATTTAACATTATTCCCAGAAGACACACAACTAATGTACAGCATAGATGTAATAAAAAAAGTGAAACCCAAAACCCTCAAACTGAACTTTTGAAACGCTAAGGCAAGCATAAGCTCTTATTGGAACCTGAACTTTACCCCACACTCATTAAATAAAAGTTATACATTATACATATGCTTACATTAAAGCATATGGGACATTTGAAGAAGCGAGGACGTGTACAAATAATTCACAAAATGTCCATCCTTGTGAAAACATTTGGCTCTCACAATAGAATGTAGAAGTGGTGTTTCAGCCTGCAACCGAGGCGGTGAGTAATGCGTCGTTGGAGGTAGCCTGTATGTCGTAATCAGATATAACTGCTGCTCCTGCGACTCACAGAGAGAAGAGAAGAGGGAGGGTAATGGAAGGAGGAGGAAGCAGGGAACATAAACTTTTCTGATTTTTGCCCCATACAGAGATTATGTGTGCGTGTGTGTGTGTGTGTGTGTGTGTGTGTGTGTGTGTGTGTTTGTGTTGGGGAAAGTTTGAATGGAGCCCAGCCATCGGGGGTTTCTAAATGGGTTTATTGTTCTCCTGCTTTGCTCTGTTTATTTATTTATTTGTGAGCCTCACCGTGTGTGTGTGTTTGTGCATGTTAGTGTGTATATCCTATGTGTTTTTATATGCCATGAGAGTGTGGGTGTTTCTATTTCTTGTGCATTATGTGATTGTCTCTTTAAGTGGATGGAGATAATAGCTTCCTCATGAGAGTTTCCCACTCTCCCACTCATGTTGTTCCCCTCCCTCCATCTTTCTGTCTGCCAGTCTTTCTTTCATTGTGATTTCTCCCTCAAATACCTACTGAAACACACACTTGTTCACTTGTTGTCTGTGTGGAGAGACTTGTCATCCAGAAAGTTACACAAAGGGTGAACAAGTTCTTGACACAGAAAACATTTTTACTTCAACCTTATTCAAGGTAATTGGCTTTATTATCATAAAAGGGCTTAAAAAAGGGCAGTGATTTATTTGGGCTTCTTATACAATAGTATTTATTTTGATGGATTGAGTGTTTAACATGTAACAAAAAAGCCCCCAAATACAGTCAAAACTCTCATTCATTTTTTCTATTGAAAACAAAAACTCAAAACTCAGCAATATCCACAAATACAGTATTTTGTGGTACACTTATTAACAGAATGATGGATATAGGTATTCAAAGCTATAATTGAGTTTTTAGATGATAGCCTTTTCCCATCAATTTCAACCTATTTTGGTTAAAAGTGTAGAAATGTGTTCAAGAGTGTATCATGAGGACTTATCGACATTTGTGTTGGTTTGATTAAAGGTCAGACTTGAACCTTTTAACCACACAGGTCAGTGGAACATAGAGTTTTATTCTTGTATTAACCTTAGTCTTTGTTGTCAACATGATTGTTCCCCTCTGGCAACATTAAGATTCATATTTTTGAAAGGCCACATTATCACACACCACCATTCTCCTCTCAGGCGTCAATTGTTAAGTGCAGAAAACATTGAGGAGGGTGCATTGAAGGACACCCCCCGTGTCCTCTAACTCAAAACACAGAAACAAGCAGTGAAAGCCTGATGAAAGCATAGAGCTTTCTATTGATACCACATTTCAGTCTGTGGATCAAAAAGCAACTGCGCTGTAATTCTTGGAATTAAGGGGGGAAAGTATGTGAAAAATATTGACAGTCAAAGAAAAAACAATTATCCAAAATAAGGTCATAGTTTGATACTTCATGACGTGAGAGACATGCTGACTCTAAACTCTAGACCCAATGATGTTTGACTGAAAGCTGCTTTAAGCTGTATACTGCAGTGTTTCCCCTACCAATAACCTAGGGGAAACACTGTACTGGTTAGGTGAAGTGGGGACAATATGTTTTTACTGGCTAAGAGGCCTAAAATGTAAAGAGGGCTATTCAGTAATAGCTGAAAACTGGTCATTAAAACAGCTTTGTGATGGGGACCTGTACCTGGACTGTGGTTAGAAAACATGTAAAGCCTTGCCATAAAAAAGTAAGTGAGAAGCTGAAAAATATGCAATTTATTTAAAAAAATAAATGAGAGAAAACACACATGGGGGTATATGCAGTTTCCATGTTGATGTTCAGAGTAAATGTTTCCACATTTTGCTTTCCAAACTGCCACCTGAGACTAGACTTCAGCCAGCTGGAATCACATCAGACGTGTTTCTCTGACAGACCAGTAAAGAAATCACTTCAGTGTGCGTGCATGTTTATTATACATGCTTGTGTTTTAGCCAGTGTGAATGCTTCTTGAAGAAATCTGACTTATTCTGGAGAAAGCATTACAAACTATTTTCAATGAGAGCTTAATTTCTTCAGATTTTTGTCTTTTTTTAGACTTTGCTGTTTGAAGAGAAAAAAACCTTTTTGGAGTTACCTTGAAGAACTCCAAAACTGTATTTATGATTAATCACAGGCGTTCGATGTCTCCACTTCCTGTTTTATCAACATGAACTTGTATATCAGATGTTTCTGCTTAAACCTGAATATTGTGAATTGTATCATCGGCACAGCAGGGGGAACTTTATGTTGAAACACTAAGTCAAAAAAGGACAGGAGAAAAAATATTCAAACAAAAGAAGAAACTTATTGATGACTAGTGACATTAAATATGTTGTGAGAGAAACAGTTGTGTCAGTTTCAAGTATCATCTACTTCATCTTGGTCTTTGACACTTTACTCTAGAAATTCAGTAAATGCCATGTTCCATTGTTATAATCACATAGTGTCATATCCAACTAAAAGACACAATGGTCAGGGGCAAAACAGTGAGTCAGGTACTGAGATTGTTTACTGGGGAAAAATGACACCGGGTTGATATGTCTGTGAGGCCAAATCAGGACAAAGTACGACATTCATTAAATGCTTACGGATATGCTAAGACTTGGAATGGCTTGTTGGACATAGAATATTCAACTTCAGTAAAATGTTGTTAAGCTTTGAAACCGCTCAATTGGTTTCAGACTTTTTCTCCTTCCCAATGTTATATACTTTAAAAATAACTGCATATGTTAAGATAATATGTAGGAGTCATTCATGTAAAGAACCGATCAATTAGGTATGAAAGGAGTTTAAACCAAAGGAGTATAACATGATTTCAAACATGCAGATGTGTTCACTACTTCTCAGCCTGTAGTGATTGAGTTGCTGTGTAATTGTGTGCTTGGGACTCATCGTAGTCTTAAAAAGTGGATGTGAAACAAGAGGAGGTTTCATGCCAGAGTGGACGTTGAGTTTTCCCCACATGAACAGTGTGTGTGGGTTATTTTACATATCTAGGTGAAAGGACAGACTGATAAACTCTGCAGGAGAGACTGTATACGTGTAAAAGTAGTTAGAGCTATAAATATCAGACTTGCACATCTGGCCTGCTGTTATGGTGTACACTTTATGATTAACATCTTAATTGTTTTTGCACATGAAGGCATTTTGAGTCTTGATGCAAATAGTTACTTTACAGGATCATTTCCACAGAACTGGACAGTCATACATCATATGGTCCTCAATACTTTGAATTATTTATAGTGTGTTAAAGAGAGCAGGGGTGGCTAATGCAACAAAAATCTACAGAAACCCAAAGATACAGGCTTTTTGGGAGATGTTTCACTCCTGCCTCGCACGTTTGGATTTGACAGTTTGTCCCCGCCTTCAACCACCTGAGGTTATTCTAGCAGCTTGATATATGACTTAGCGGACACACTGCACATACACAGATGATGTCTGTTAGCTGCAGAATCACATTTAGGTCGTAAAGCTATAAAACATCCCCCTGGATACCATTTGTGCTGATCTCTGCATTTTTGTCCTGTAGAATAAGCTCCCTTGCATAAGAGTTCAGTGCTTAGGCGTTTGTTTTGGCAACTTACATACATGGCACATATGAATGGAATGTTACCGTCCTGTTGAAAATAGAGCTGCAATGATAGTTCCTATTTATTTATATGTCATCGACATAAAATGGAAATG